AATAATTAAACCGTTCATTAAGTAAATATATTAACTTAGTGAAGCTTAATGTGTTTTGAAGATTTCCTAAAGGCTTCCTGAAAGGCTTCATGGAGGCTTCTTATCCTGGTATTATTAGATCTTATTATTGACCTCCTTTGATAAGTGCCGCGGCTATATTAACCCATAAAATGAGTAGTTAAGAATATAATAATCCTTGAAAGCCATATTAGCTCATTGGATTATAGTTTCTTATGGATTATAGATTATTAGATTATTATAAATAGCTTCTGTCTGGCCTATCACTAGCCATGGAATAATATAGCTCTCAGTATAGGGATATAATATGTCTTACTGAGAAATATTATGTGAAATATTTCTTGAACTTAAATGAGATATAGTATGACTTCAGAGGGTCAAGGGGGGGGGGGGGGGTTGGTGAGGAGTATTACCAACGAAGAAATATTATATTCCTCAATCGCTCTACTTCACACACACACACACACACACACACACACGGTCTCAACCTCCGCCCCTTCCCCCTCCCTTCTCCCCCACCTTCCCCTGAGGCAAGTGGTGGTAGAGTCAGGTGGCCCTAATTACCAGGTGAGCCGGACAGGTGAACACGGGTCTAGGTACACGGTAGGCCAGTGATGGATATGATTATAGGAATTTTGCCACCTTAGTTAACACGGTTTGTCTGGGAACCTTTCTTTATCTATCTATCTATCTATCTATCTATCTATCTATCTATCTATCTGTCTGTCTGTCTGTCTGTCTGTCTGTCTGTCTGTCTGTCTGTCTGTCTGTCTGTCTGTCTGTCTGTCTGTCTGTCTGTCTGTTAGATAGACAGATGGATGGATGGATGAACATGTGATAAAATCTGATATGTTAAAATCTATTAAAATCTTCATGAAATAACATTAAAATAGTCGGTAAATAGAGCGCCTTTCCTCATGTTTAACAGCTATTAATTAGACACAACAAAATACTGAGAAAAAAAAATCGGCTACAAAAAGTGTCCTCAAATAGACTACGAATCGCAATAAACGAATCCGAAATCGGTGGCCACAAATCGAACCCAGAAATCGGAGCCATTAACACAGTGACAATAAAAACAGTGAGGCAGTTAAGTGGGTTGGTGGGTTGGTGGGTGGGTGGGTGGGTGGGTGGGGGTGTTATCACAGCGACAGGGGCGGTGTGGGCATGACTGTTGAGTGCCGAACCGTGTTGACTAACGCCCACGCTCGTAACTGCCTCCGGTGTGTGTGTGTGTGTGTGTGTGTGTGTGTGTGTGTCAATTGTAGGCGACCTGTGGTTTAATGGTCAGCATGCTCGCCTCGCAAGCGAGTTGACGCGGGTTCCATTCCCGGGCAAAGTGAAACTATGGGCAAGTTTCTTTACGCCATTTGCCTCTGTCTACCCAGCAGTAATTGGGAACCTGGATGTTAATCAATTTACGGATCGTATTCTGCAAATGGTTATCCAGTGCAGTTGGCGAGTTGTCCGGACACTGGGTCCTGCAACTCGTTGTGGTTGTTTTGTTGGCGACAGCTTCTGCACCTTAAACAATTTCACGCCGAGGTGGCCCTTGGGCCGGCCATCCTCGTTACACGAGGGGCAACCATTATTATGATTATTATTAGAGGTGACAATTAGGCTAATTATAACACTGGAGGATATGTCTGTCTGTCTGTTTACTTCTTTCTCATGTGCATCATTTCCTGAAGCTTACATCTCTCTCTCTCTCTCTCTCTCTCTCTCTCTCTCTCTCTCTCTCTCTCTCTCTCTCTCTCTCTCTCTCTCTCTCTTCCACATCCCACACAACATATTGAGTTCCTCAGATCATAACTTACCCGAACAAAAGCTTCGTATTTCTTCACTTTCTTACTTATTGGTGAAAACACACACACACACACACACACACACACACACACACTAACACATACATGCACATGGACAATGTTTGCGTGTACGGTACATTAGCCCCTGCACGCACGAGTACCTCCGTGTGCGTGCAGACGTGTGTGTGTGCGTGTGGATTGCATTAGCACTTATCTGATAGCAAAAGAGCAGTAGATGGTGTGTGTGCGTGTGTGCGTGTGTGCGTGCGTGTGTGTGTGTGTGTGTGTGTGTGTGTGTGTGTGTGTGTGTGTGTGTGTGTGTGTGTGTGTGTGTGTGTGTAAATTTGATTGACTTGTGTACGTGTATATACATTCATCACTACGCGTCTGTTTGACTGTTTATCTCACTGACTTGTAATTTAAAACAGATCTATATATGAATTGAAAAATAATTAAGTTTCAGTACTTTTGTAAATGTTAGTGCTGTGTGAGTGTGTGTGTGTGTGTGTGTGTGTGTGTGTGTGTGTGTGTGTGTTTGTGACTGCGAAGTTTGTCATGTTCATTCTCGGATCCATGTGAGCGTATGTTAATGTATGTATGTAAATGAACGTATGTGTGTTCTGACTTGGGAATATACGTGTGTGTACATTTATGCACTTACATGTACATGTTTATACACGATTCTTTGTTTACGTGTGCGTGCGTGTGTGCGTGTGTGTGTGTGTACTTGTTAGTGTGTGTATAAATACTTCTGTAGTGGTATACCTATGGGTGTATGTATGTATGACTGCATTTATGTGTGTGTACTGTATATGCACATGTGTATACATCTCTGTAAATATGTTTGTTTGATTGTTTGTATGGATGTGTGAGTTGTGTGTGTGGATGTGTGAGTTGTGTGTGTGTGTGTGTGTGTGTGTGTGTACGCAATCTAATATGTTTGATTTCTCTCTCTCTCTCTCTCTCTCTCTCTCTCTCTCTCTCTCTCTCTCTCTGTGTGTGTGTGGTGTCGCCATGCGCTGGAGCAATACCTCTGGTGGCGCCAGCGACGCACACACGAGGCACGCACAATTCCACTCCACTTCGCCCCTCTCCACACCTTTCCGCCCGCCCTCACCCCATTCACCCACACGCCCACACCCTCCCCCTACCACCCCGTGCCGCCCCTCATTCGTGAGCTTATACCCGCAGCATTACACACACGAAAATAATAAGCATATCCCTTACACCAGTATAACAATATACACGAAATATATCCCAGGTGGTATATCTTTCATGGGGGGAGGAGGAGGGAGGAGAGGAGAGAGAGAAAGAGAGAGGGAGAGAGAGGGAGGGGTGTGGGTTGGTGGGGGTGAGAGGTGGTGCGTGGGATAGGTGAGAGGGGGGGAGTTGGTTGGTTGGTGGGAAGGATGTTGGTGTCTCAGGATTAAAGGAGTTTATTCTGATCCCTTTAAATCGTCTTTAATCCTCCTCCGAACACCTTTTGTAGCCTGTAGTGAGGATCCAAGACTCTTACTGTGTATAAGTGACGGTAGGTGGAGCAGTGGTCGTGTATAATTAAATAAATTGTTTGTTTAATTCAACTTACTTTTATAATGGTTTGTTTAAATCTCTCTCTCTCTCTCTCTCTCTCTCTCTCTCTCTCTCTCTCTCTCTCTCTCTCTCTCTCTCTCTCTCTCTGGTGTGTCCAAGTTGAACTTTTTATCGTGTCACTACAAAGAAATTTCTGACGTTACGATGAACTTTCAGAACATATTATGAACTCTAGCTTATCAATAATGAACTTTCTACCGTGGTGAACTTTTAGACCCTACAGTGACCTCTCTGGCGTGTCCGGGTTGAACTTCTGCCCTGGACCTTGGAGGAGTTACGTTCTTCTTTAAAAGTTCAAATGACATTTTTTCCCCCAGGACCTGGTCGGAGTTGTTCAACGTGTTCAACAGTCTCTTAGTGAACAGATTGGTCTCCCATGTTGTGTTCAGAACCTCTTGTGTAATTTGCTCTCTACTAAGATTCAAGGCTGGTCTGTGGGTCTGTCTGTGTCGCTCTGTCTATGAATAGTGTCTGTCTGTCTGTGTAACTCTTTGGATAATGCCTGTCTATGTAACTCTGTCTGTGAATAATGTCTGTCTGTTGATGAGTCTGTTGGACTGTCTGCGTAAACTGTCCCGTAGACTAAGATGAAAACAAAGATGGTTGGTGAGAGGGAGGTGGAGAGGGGGTAAAGAGAGAGGGATAGAGTGAGGGAGAGAGGAAAGGAGAAAGGAAAGAAAGAAGAGAGGAGAGGATAGGAGAGGAGAGGCGAGGAGAGGAGAGGAGAGGAGAGAGTTTTTGCCTGAGAGGAAATATTAGACTTAAGGGTTGGTCAGCCCTAGCTATCTGGCAACACTGTTAGGGAAGTCTTTACATACAAACGTTATCAAAACCAATAGGGAAATTTATACTGGCATGATTATTATTCACTTGTGATTGATGAATTGGGTGAATAATTATGCAAATGAATGTGAGAATAGATGGATATGTATGAACGGATAATGAGTTGACATGAGGATAGACAAAGGAATAAATGGAGCTTTAATAGATACGTGAATGATTCTGTCTGTCTGTCTGTCTGTCTGTCTGTACTCCACTCTCCTTGCAGTCTCTCTCCTTCCAACTCCCTTCAATCACCTCATTCCTTGTCTTCGTCTTTCCCTTCATTTTTTAACCCCTTCCTTTCATTCCCCCCCCCCTTCGTTTCTTCCTCTTATTTCCCCCTTCTCTTCCTACCCTTCTCCCTTCTCTTCTCCCATCCTCACCATCTTCATCTCTCCCCCCACCCTCTCTTCTCCCCCTCTAACTTCCATTCCTTCCCTATTCTACTTCCTCATTATCGCTTTCCTCCTCCGCCTCTTCCACTCCCGTTTCTCTCTTCCCCTTCCCCTCTTCCCCTCCCCTTCCCCTCTTCTCTACATGATCCAGCCACCATAAACCTCCCCTTGGTTAGGTTGTTGAGAGAGACCCTTATAGTATACAGCAGTGGAGGACCAGGAACAATTACCTTTGTCTCTCTGTCTGTCTGTCTTTCTGCCTGTCTCTCTGTCTGTCTGTCTGTCTGTGTGTCTGTGCCTATTTCACTCATTCTCTATCTCTCTCTTTCTATGTTATATCTCTCTCTTTTTATTCAATCCTTCTTACCTTCATCTTTGATTCTCACACTTTTTTTTTTGTTCCTCTGTAAATCTCTTTCTTTCCCTCTCTGTTCCTCTCAAAATTGTATCTAATTTTTTTCTCTCTCTCCCATTATCTCTCTCTCTCTTTCTCTCTCTCTCCCTTTCCATTCTCACACTCTTTGTTCCTCCCCCTTACGGAGAATGTGTCGATGTTATCCTACAACATGGAGCGACTTTATTGAATTTCAGGTGATTTGTCTCGTGCAGGAGTGCCAGTGGGTGCCAAAGGGTGCCGGGAGTGCCAAAGGTGAATTACAGGGGTGCCAGAGGGTGCCATGGGGTGCCAAAAGGTTCCAGGGGGTGCCAAAGAGGAATTACGTGGGTGTCAGAGGATGCCAAAGGGTGCCAATGGGTGCCAGAAGATGCCAGAGGATGCCAGAAAGGTTCCGTACGGCGGTGAAGATGAAAGGTCGATGTGATTTTGGTGCGACCCTTAAGAAAATAATGAATAAATGTAAACTGAATGATTGACTGAATGAATAAATACAAAAGTGAAGCAATGGACAGGTAGGTAACTTAATTAATGAACAGGTGTATAATTAAGCAGGTAAATTAATTCCTTAATATAGTTAGTAAATCAGACTCAAGTCCTACTCACAATTGCCAGATCAAAGATAACAATCCTCTCGTAAATACCTAATACCCTGGACTCACAGTTACCAGAACAAAGTAATAAATCTTCTATATTATCGAACAGCAACAACACCAACTCATCGCTGTTGCCAGACCAGGTGAACAACTGTGTCTAGTACAGCGGGTGGTACCAACACAGAGATAAACCCCTGGGGTGACCGACCACTCATATCTACCATCTACCATCATAAACAACTCTACCAACTACTACCATTGCTGCTACTACAATCACCACCAAAACTTCTACCACCGCAATTAGTACAACCACTATTACTACCACCGCTACTATTAATACTACCATTGTTAACACCACCACCACCACTACTACTACTACTACCACTACTAACACCAGCACCACTACCACTGCCACTTAACCACCAACACAAATACTACGGTTACCACCACCACTATCACCATCTTCCACCATATACCTCGTCTGAAACACACACATACACACACACACATACACACACACACACACACACACCATATTAAGGGGATCAGGTGTTAACATATAGCCAATTGATTCTGCATTTGTTATTCACTGCAACGACCAAAATGATGAATGGGTCGGCTTGTTAGTGCCCCCTACTGCTCTCCTCTTAACTCCCCATTGATTTATCCCCCTTAACTTCTTCCTCTTAGCCCCGTACCCCCCCCCCCTCCCTGCCCGTCCCCCTTGGTGTTTTCCCTAAGCTCCTTCCCTTAATTTCCTCCCCATTTCCTTCTCCCATACCGTGGATAGGGAGGATAGAAAGGGTAAGGAGGAGGGGTGGGAAGGAGGACTTAGTGAGAGGAAGAAAGGGATTGAGAGTGAGAAGGAAGGCTTGTGACACGGAGAGGTGTCACACTACCACCACCAACACTACCACCACCTACCACCCAACACTACCACCACCACCACCACTACCACCAACACTACCACCAACACTACCACCACCAACACACCAACACTACCACCAACCAACACTACCACCACCACCAACACTACCACCAACCAACACTACCACCAACACTGCCACCAACACTACCACCACCACCACCACCACTACCACCAACCAACACTACCACCAACACTACCACCACCAACACTACCACCACCAGCACTACCACCACCAACACTACCACCACCAACACTACCACCACCAACACTACCACCACCAACACCACCACCTACCAACACTACCACCACCACCACTACCACCACCACCAACACTACTACCAGCGGACCAAAAAAAAAAAATATGTTGATCAGATACTAACGTCCGTACGAACAAATCCGGATATGGCCAAGGACGAATTTATTACGGTTGTCTTATCCTTTTACTGCTGCAACTCATCCGATCAGTGGAGGGAGGAGGAGGAAAGAGGTGGAGGAGGAAAAAGGTGGAGGATAAGGAGGGGGAGGAAGAGGTTGAGGAGGAGGAGGAGGAAAGAGGTGGGGGAGGAAAGAGGTGGAGGAGAAGAAGGGGGAGGAGAAGGAAGGGTAGGAGGAGGAACGAGGTGGAGGAGGAAGGAAAGGAGGAAGAGAAAAGAACTTGAAGGGGGAGGGGGTGGGGTAGGAGAGGACGAAGAGAGGCAAGGAAGTGTTAAACTAAATCTGTAAAGGGGGCAAAACAGTGCTAAGATAATCCTGGTGACTATGGTGATTCTCTTAACAACTCCTGAAAGGAAATTCGTCACTATTGGTACTTTGAGTTGCAGTACCCAGTCGATTACCCCCCTCCCCAAAGTTATGGTCAATTCAGTTGAAAATCTTATAGAAAGTTGATAGGTTTTTGGACCCTAATGGCTACATGGTTTGTGTTGTTGTTAGAGGGGTGAGTGGAACGGCACTATCTGCAGGGAATTCAGTTGAAAATCTTTGGTTCGAAAATCTTATTGAGGCATTGGGGTGATTTGAGCCTTAGGGTGTGGTGTGTTGGGGAGGTGTTGAATGGAAACTATCCTCGTCATGAATATTTATTGGAGAAGTCGTTTTATTGCCTGTCTTTACCTCCTCCTAATGTGGCTGTGTCCTCCCCCTCCCTCCCCCCCCCCACCCCCTTAGAATCAGCGGATTAAACCACTTTCCTTCACTCTTTTTTTACCTTTAGTCTGAAGGTGGATTTGGGATAATTCTCTTTAAAAAACAGAGTTCATTGTACCCCTTACTTCATTATCATTTTATACTTCGCCTAAAAAAAAGGGGATTTTATGGACCCCTTCCCTTAAAACAACGAGTCTAATCCTTGTCTAATCCTTTTACGTTAATCCTAAAGGGAGTATAAATCCCCCCTTACATTAAAACAACGCATTACCCCTTTACTTCATTCCCAATCTCATGTTATATAAAGGACTTCTGCTCCCCCATCCCGTAATTCCCTCTTTAATGGACTTAATATTTATACAGAAGATAATTTCCTCCTATTACTTCCCACCCCCCCCTTTATCCTGTCCACACACACACACACACACACATGGGGGGGGTGGGGTCTGTGATCTATCCCCTATCCAACACCTGTGTTTAGTGGGACGTGTTAAGGTCGGTAAAGAGTCTTGTCCTTCAACTTTACTCCCTTGCTCGGGTGGTGGGAGGTGGATAGGGGGTGTGGATGGGGAGTGAGGAGGTGGAGGGAGTGGATTAGGTGGATGGTGAGATCGAACTCCTTAAATCTGTGTGGTCCAGTCCTCTTGCACTAACTACTTTTGGTCAATGTAGTCGTAAGCTTTCTCGATTTTTCACCCGATTTTTTTTTGTAGTTTTCTTTTTTTAATCCATAACGAGCAACATGTGAGCCAAACATCTTCCTTCTCATTCTCCTCATCCACCCCGATCTAGACCTCCTCCTCATCCACCTTGATCTAGACCTCCTCCTCATCTACCTCGACCTACTCCTCCTCCACCTCGATCTCCTCTTCCTCCTCATCCTGCTCCTCCTTCTCATCCACCTCGACCTCCTCCTCCTCCTCCTCTTAAGACCTTCCTCTTCACCTCTCAGTGGGTATGTCAGGGTTCCCACACTGAACATCCCCTTGTACACTTCACCTCCCCAGACCACAAGACTAATTCCCTTATGTTTATTAAGTTCCTTCATGTTGCCCAGCCGTCGACTCCACTACTCTGGTACTCAGCCGTCCTCTCCACTACTCTGGTACTCAGCCGTCCTCTCCACTACTCTGGTACTCAGCCGTTCCTCATCTACTCTGGTACTCAGCCGTTCCTCATCTACTCTGGTACTTAGCCGTTCCTCATCTACTCTGGTACTCAGCCGTTCCTCATCTACTCTGGTACTCAGCCGTTCCTCATCTACTCTGGTACTCAGCCGTTCCTCATCTACTCTGGTACTGCCGTTCCTCATCTACTCTGGTACTTAGCCGTTCCTCATCTACTCTGGTACTCAGCCGTTCCTCATCTACTCTGGTACTCAGTCGTTCCTCATCTACTCTGGTACTCAGTCGTTCCTCATCTACTCTGGTACTTAGCCGTTCCTCATCTACTCTGGTACTCAGTCGTTCATCATCTACTCTGGTACTCAGTCGTTCCTCATCTACTCTGGTACTCAGCCGTTTCTCATCTACTCTGGTACTCAGCCGTTGTTTCATCTGTTTGATGTCATTCTTGAACCATGTACGGTAAGTCTGGTTAGGTTAGGTTAGGTCAGATCAGGTCAGGTCAGGTCAATGCTGGACTGAACCTTAAATTTCCTGAGTTAGTGATCGACCAGTAGGGCGTCTCTCCCTCCACACGAGCTGGAGGAACGAGATGACCGATTTAACGTTGTTTCCCTGTTTTCCTCGGTGGTCGCTCGTTCAGAACAAGCCAACTGTTGTCCAAACTACCCTAATCAGCAGTGAGAGACAATAGCCAGGCAGGAGATTACCCTATAAATAAGGCAGAATTTACCTTCCTTTCCAGTTACCCCGACGACATCACACGGGTCACAGCGAAGTTGCTCCTGGGGTATACCAAGTCCAGCAGCCAGTCCTAGACACCCTGGGCTCTATACTGCTTCTCCTTGTTCCTAACTGGTATGTGATGATGATTTTGGTGCGTAACTATTTGTTTATGTTTGTGAATTTTCTGTATTTGGTTCTAAGCTTCTGTTACTCTACGTGTTTACACAGTTAATTGTTGGAAATTTTAGTAATTAATATTCCAGTGTTTTGATGTTCAATGTTTTTTTTTTTCGTAAGGCGCCTAATGTACTCGAAACGTTAACGAATTATATGCGGTTGTTTGTCCATGTATGTATACGTTGTTTTTGTTATATATATATTACTCGATCATAATAATCCATCTTCTTAATATCAGTATCAATAGACCATATACCATCTCGACTCCCAGATAAGTTAAGA